CCCCAAAACCCCAAAACCCCAAAACCCCAAAATAAATCTAAATTATTGAAAAAATTGAATCTAAAAGCTATTTACCCAAATACTGAGCATTTAACAGATACTAAAATTTATTTTGAACAAAACTTTTGTGACTCTTTTACTCAAGATAGAATTGATGAAGACTCTTAGAATTAGTAACACTGGGAAGTATGATATAATCCACAAAATATATGTCTCTTAAACTCTTTATAAAACTAAGCCAAAGAAACCACAAAAGAAAAGAGTTAAGAAACAACAGAGCAAGCAGAAAGAGAAAACCGGAAAACCCAAGAAAGTTAATAAAGCTAAGAAAGTGAATAAAGCAAATGCATACAAAAAGCATAAACATAAAAATGGATCCTCAAAAACATCTACTACAGAAATGAACGGAGCCGCCCACTCAAAAACATCTAAAGAAACACAACAAGATGCTTCTTCCCCAGATTCAAAACCCCAAAACCTCTCTACACCTCCTCACTCCCCAAACCCATCTCCATCAAAATCCAGCTCTCAAAGCTCCATCAAAGAACTAAAAAATCCCATCCCCAAAAAATCCACCAAAAGAACCACAAAACCCTCTCCCTCAAAATCCATCAAACCCCCTCATCCTGCCGAAGAACCCTCCCAAACCCCTGAAACGAAATGTTCCCAAACCTCTGAACCTCAGTCCCAGCCCACCCACACCTCCCGCTCAGCTTCCCCCTCCAAAAAGATAACCTACAAGTCCCTTCCAGCGCCCACATTCCCTGAAACTATTAAAAAGCCTAAAGACCCGTTCATTAAGAAACTTTTGAGGAAAGCAGGCCGCCTGCACCAGAAAGCTAAGGATTTTAAGACTACAGTGGAGGATAGTGGCTTTGATGTTGGGTTAGTGGGCATAAGGGAGTTGAAGAAGAGGGAGGTTATGGATAAGGTTAAGAAGAGAGGAGGCAAGGTTAAGGAATTGAAGGACAAGGATAAGGAGAAGGTTAAGGAGGTACAAAAGCAGGATGATAGGGTTGCTTATTATCAATCTGAGGTTAATAGTAAGGTAGCCATGGCTCATATTAATTTGAGAATGTGGGCTGGTGATGGAGCTGCAGGTACTTATTATGATGATATCGTTGAGTATACTAATACTTTGGATGATAATATAGTCTGTGATGTATGTATGGAGTCTGATGCTCAGGACCACGATGAGATTATTATTTGTGAGTTATGACTTGCTGCGACGCATCAGACTTGTTATGGCAAAGAGTTAGCTGAGCAAATACCAAATGACGTTTGGTATTGAGAAAGATGTACCAATCTTTTGGATAGCCCAATTGAACCAGAAGATACTAAGTGCAAAATTTGTGATAAAACAATAGGAATGATGCTCAAGATAAAATACAACGATTTGCTACCTGAAGAAATGAAAGAATCTAAAAAAAGAACCTGATCTTGAGTATATAGATGATGAAAATCAGGAAGATCCACTAGATGAAACTTGAGACATCGACTCAAAAATTCCCAAACTAGGAACCAAATTTACCAAGCAATTTCAATGGGCTCATATTAATTGAATATCTTGGATTCCAGGAATCAAAATTACAGATGATCGTGAAACAATCAATGGCACTATTGAAGTTAAGAGCTTTGGCCACTCATGAATATTCTGCGAAAAAGAAAAACTTGGTGTGTGCTTAAAATGAGACTTCCAGGGATGTACCAATTATTTTCATCCTAGATGAGCAAGAGAGAACGAATGTATTAAACCTGTTGGAGCAATGAATGAATATCAAGACCCTGATGATCCCCATAATTATTTGATATTTTGTCCAGAGCATCAAGAATCTGGATTGGAACTTCTTAAGAAAATGAAGGAAGAAGTCAAGAATGAGAACTAACTTATACATTCTAATTTATTTTTAATTTTTTAACTTTAATCATGCTGATCCTGGGGTTTTGGGGTTTTGGGGTTTTGGGG